AAAAGAAAAGAAAAAGAAAGAAATCATTACTGTCAGCCCTGTAGCAGATAGCAATAGTCCTCACTGATCAGTGGATGCCAATTTGCTCATGAGGTGGTTGTTTGAATAACCAGGATGCAGGAGCCCTTTGATAGTCATACCTTTAGCTGCTGCTCCTTCCTGCCTTCCCTGAACTCAGTTTCCATTCCATCCAAGACGTTTACTTGTCAGTTTTCAAGTAGTTTGGGAGCCCAGGGATCCAGATTTTTCAAATAAGATAATATGACCAAGAACAAATTTGAACCCAAAACTGGAATTTAGAACAATAAACGTGGAGTAAGGGAAGGTTTAGTATGGGAGAGCCGACTCATTGGTTGACTCCAATCAGCTAACAGTACTGGGAATGGCTGGTGGGGCAAGTGGAGAGAGCTCAGGAATCTGTTCCTGTCCCACGGCTTCCCAGCCCTTCTGTGGAAGAGTGACTGCGAAAAAAAAAAAAAATGGAATTTGGCTAGGCATATAGTAAGTTCCCTAGTAATAAAGAGGAAGAGGCACACCTGTTTTATTGAAATGTCATCTTTCTATGGGGGCTGTTTTTTATTCTTCGATTCAGGTTCTTCTACATGCCAACATTAAAGAGATTGCCCTTAGAACATTTTAAATAGGAAATCTTGATGACATGAACACCATCCATGCAGATGAGCTCAACTGTCACTGTGCTGCTCCAATTACAGGCTCAGACCTTCCATTTGAGAGGAGCATAGACCTGAGCCTGTCCTGGGACACTGACTTCAGTCTCCTCTCTCCTTCCTCAAACCAAAGACCAGAAAATGGAAGCATTCATGCTATTGGCAAAGGAATACTTAACGTAGTTCTTTGCTTTTCTCTCCTCCATAGTAATCTTCATTTAAAGATTTTGCCATGCTATTAAATTTTTGAGGGTATATAATAGTAATGCTATGAAACATGCATGCTTTTTTGTTGATTGTCAGTACATAGTTGTCCATTAAAGCCATGTTCCCTCTGCCAGATATTAAAAGCTAGTGGACAGATTTTACAGTATTTAATGAGCCACAGTAATGTCCTAGGCATTATAGCAAAGACGCAAATGCTGTAAGAATTTGTATCCATTGGAATTTTCTGATCAATTAAATAGGATTTGCATCAATGACCAAGTATAAAATTCCATTCAAAAAGTAACTTTATCCTTTACTAGAACTTAGCTTTGAGAAGTATTTCTATATCTATTTTTTAAGTATGAATTTTAAATTAAAAGCAATATAGAATAACTAAAGTTAGTAGAGAGGAGATCCAACTTACTAAGTAACTATCAATGGAAACTTGAATTATCATTTGTAATATATCTTTAGGGTGAGAGTTCAAAATAAGCTGTATGGTTTCTTTCCCTTTGGTTGCTATGAATAACAGCACAATGACAATTATATATGAAGTCCAGTTAAACTATTTCTATTTCACATATTGTAGCTAATGTTTACAGCAAGGGATAATCATTAGTAAATTTCATCAATTCTGTTTTCTGTTTAATTCATAAAACTAAGGTAAGAAGTTTTTCTTTGGTTACGATTAGTAAATGAAAGAATATGTATGTCTTAAAAATACTTCAGATTGGGCCAGGCACAGTGGCTCATGCCTGTAATCCCAGCACTCTGAGAAGCCAAGGAGGGTAGATTGCCCGAGCTCATGGGTTCAAGACCAACCCGAGCAAGAGCAAGACCCCATCTCTAAAAATAGCAGGGTGTTGTGGCGGGAGCCTGTAGTAGTCTCAGCTGCTCGGGAGGCTGAGGCAAGAGAATTGCTTGGATCAAAGAGTTTGAAGTTGCTGTGAGCTCTGATGCCATGGCACACTATTGAGGGTGACAAAGTGAGACTCTATCTCAAAAAAAAAAAAAAAACCTTAAGATTTTATAGGATTTTTATGTCATTTCAGAGAATAAGGCTCAGTCTATATTATTTATATTGATTCCTTTACTCAGATCTATGAAGTATAAAAGTTCATAGATCACTTAGTCAATCAGCTAATTTTTCTTCCCTACTGGAGATATTACCCCATACTTAACTGTAATACATAGACACTATCTAGAACAGGCTAGACTGGGTTTGAGTAGAAGTTTAGAATTCTCTGTATAGTCAGGAGAGTTCTAGAGGAAGTAGGTTCTGAACTGAGATAAAACTCACCTTTCTAAGTTTGGGGCCTACTTCTGTTGCATGTTTGTAATGATTTGACAGAAGGTCATAACTCACCAAGCTCTGCTGTAAAATGCCATCACATAGACTTGAGCTTTTGAACCTTCACGTAATCTACTCTCTATCTGAGAAATGATTATTTCATTTGTGAATCATCCCCCTTTTGCCTGTTCTTTTACACATTCCATTGCTTTTTAGTGCTCCCACGATAGGGTGAGCAACTGGAGAATGAGGAGGTAAATTCAAATCTGAATACCTAACAACTTTCTAACAAATAAATAAACACCATTCCCTAAAATAACATTGAGGATTTTCTAGATTTGAGATATTCTGAACATTTCCAGATTTCAGATAGTCTTTTCTTGCTCAAAGTAATAAACATTTTATAGTAATGATGGAGCTATCAGATCTAGAAGAGATTTCTTGGTCTGAGAATTAAGAAATAACTGCCTCTCAATCTAAACACCTTCACATGTGAAGTGGAGAAACACAAAATGAGCATTTTAATCTGAAAGGAAGAGTGACTCCTTAGCAGACTATGAGACAGAATAGGTCTCTTCTCAACCGCGGTTCTGATGAGTGACTGTACAGTCTATAGCAAAAAACAGAAACTAAGGACAACCCAAACCTAAAACCTAAAGCTGCCCCCTGGTGTTTCTTGTGCAGCATGACCCTTCCACCCTTTCCATGCTGTGCTGGTTTGACAGCCATCATGTCTCTTACTTGCACCAAAAACTGGTGCAGGGACATGGTAATATTTTAAAAATATATTAGGAAAAGACAGACTTCATTTATATTTATTTTAATTCTATTAAAGAAAAAAGAAAGAAACATTTCTCCCACATTAGGGTAGCCTTTCTGGACCTTAGCAGTCCTATTTAAGACAACAGCAAGTGAAAATCAGGGTAGAAATGAAAACCAGCCCTGTTTTCTGTATAAACATACCACCTGAAATGTTTCTGTAAGCACTTTGAACCCCTCTAGTGAAGATTGCTACACCACTGGCAGTGTTGTCTAGCTACTCTCACCTTTAGGGTAAAGCAAAATCAAAGTTAAAAACAACCCAGAAACTTCAGTTCCTAAGGATTTTTTTATTTTATTTTATTCCAGAGCTTACTGTAGTCAGTGGTCAACAGTATGCCAGTTTTTGAGTTTTAAGAGCAGCAGTAGGCCGACCCAAACTCTGCAAAACAAACAAACTTAACATCATTCCTGTTTCTAATACATTGTGAAGCATGGAGTTAAGCCCTGGGTGGAACAGAGATGTCAGCATTAGCCAAGCAGGGGTGACTCTCAGATTTAGAAGCCCACAAAGTCAGGGGCTTTGAAAGGTGACTTCAAAAATAATGGTCCTTAAGTGAAAAGCACATTTGTTCTAATTTTATCTTATACTGTTTGGTAGAGGGAATATAGCTTTTTCTTCTCGAGCCTGCACAATATGCATGCTCAGCTATTGCCTGAAGTAAGATAACTGGCCTTGCATAGTCATAAAAGAGACATTCTGTACTTTTGGCTGATTCTCTGCTAACCCTAAAGGGTAATTCTCTGATTTTTAATAATCATACCTTGTTTTTCAGAAGGGGAATGTCTGTTGAAAGGCAACTAGTGAACTTAAAGTTACAGGATTTTCCCATGGGGGCTTATTTTGTGAATTAAGGAAGAGGGAGACTGGACTAAGAGATAATTTTTTCAGTCCCAGGTTGGTGCACAGGAGAGATCTAGGTCAACATGGGCAAGGGAATTTTTATTAATTGAAATAAAGATGTAACTTAATAAAATTCCTTAAAATGTAGTTTCTAGACTTAGAAATTTTGGGTCCCTTATGAATCTGTCCAGTTACTCTAATTCCAAAGGCAACATAATGTTTCTGTAACAAAATGAGCCATACAATGTCATTCCCCTCCTGGAAATCAAAAGAGCAGGCTCACCATGGGTTCCTCCCAACACTCAGCAACCTCCCCCTTCCAATGCAGGTGGTGGTGAATGCCTTGGTGGGCGCCATCCCCTCCATCATGAATGTGCTGCTGGTGTGTCTCATCTTCTGGCTGATTTTCAGCATCATGGGAGTTAACCTATTTGCGGGAAAGTACCACTACTGCTTTAATGAGACTTCTGAAATCCGATTTGAAATTGAAGTGGTCAATAATAAAACTGAATGTGAAAAGCTCATGGAGGGAAACAATACAGAGATCCGATGGAAGAATGTGAAGATCAACTTTGACAATGTTGGGGCAGGATACCTGGCCCTTCTTCAAGTGGTGAGTGTTGTTTTTTCAGTTCTAGGCAATTTACGCAGCTAGCAAAAATCCCTTTTGATTTTTTTCTCAACCATGCTTCCAGAATCAGGATTATGCTTAATAAGTCCAAGAGCACAATGTCATTTCTCAGCCCAGCTTTAGAGAGATGCCTTTCCTGAGTGGTCTCTAACTTCTACAAGATTTCATTCAAAGGGAATCTCTGGTTGTGCTCAGGAACAGAGTTCAGCTCAGCAACATATAAGGATTTCTGCAAACATATAAGGACTTCTGCAGTGTAATAAAGTGGTGGAGAGGTCACCTCTACCTGGGTCATAGTGTGCAGTTAAAGAGAAAGACTTCCCCCAAAAATCAAGAAGATGTGCATAGGCAAAAATAAGAAATGATGGCAATTTTGATTGAGGTGAATAATCCTACATGCTAGCTACAAAATAATTAAGAAAAGAATATGACAGTACATTGAGGCCACACTCACATCAGTTCCTCCCCAGAGAAAGGCCTCAGACTAATATGTCACAGTAAGAAAGGATTTAATTATGCAGATAATTCTCTTTTGCCTATTTTCTTTTTTTTTTTTTTTT